ATTTATGTTGAATGTGGAACAAAATATCCAATTACCCCCGGTCACTTATCAATATATACTTCATTATATAAAAATTAGTTTAACTCAATTGGAAAAGTAGGATGTTCGATGATATTTCGTAAAGATGAGTTTAAATCTTAAATCTTCACATGATATATATATATATATATAGCTAAGTTGATTTTGATGGTCATGTAGAGGGGGCAGACCCCACTATATATATATATATATATAGCTAAGTTGATTTTGATGGTCATGTAGAGGGGGCAGACCCCACTACGTACGAATATGGAAACAATCAATTTTAAGCATAAATAACAGTCATTAGGAAATTAAAAAGGAAAGGCCAAAGATACTCGAAAGAAAACACACATATAAAAACACAAAAAACAACTTAGGGAATAGAAGTTTTGAATGGGGGTGGGTTAGAGGTTATTGTATGTATATTAATGCAAAGACAGAGAAGCCACACACTAAAGTGCTAATACCCAACGCAGCTGTCATTAGATATTACAATTCCAACCATCTCTCAATACAGCAAATTAGCGTTTGCAGTTGTCTGGCATCTCTCTTCCCTCCTCTCTTTTCAACCATTCTATCAAAATAATAACAGTGACAACGAACTCGAACTCCCCTCTTCAATGATTATATATGAAAATAGATAGATTCCATGCCCTGGCTTACCGAGTGCAACAAGTAAAGAACAAGGGGGTTGGATTGGAGCTTAAATGAGTTTCATGCTCAAGGATCGTTTCCCGTTTCTGGATCGTGGTGTTTAGATGAATGCCATGGCTAATTACCCGCATTACAGGTCACAGTTCGGTGACACGACGTTTACTAAACTGTTCGTCGGAGGTCTAGCTTGGGAGACACCTACGGAGGAAATGCGAAGGTATTTTGAGCAGTTCGGGGAGATTCTTGAAGCTGTTATAATCATGGATAAAAACACAGGAAAATCTAAAGGTTATGGATTTGTAAGTTCATTTTATCTCCTACCATTTTTTTTTGTGTTGGTGGCTTCATGATACAAGTTACATTGGCAAAAATCCCACATCCATTTTGTGAACTGTTATTTGCTTGAATTCTTTAGAGAATTCTTGATCTTCGAATTTTTCAGGTGACTTTTCGCGATCCTGAATCGGCAAGGAGGGCTTGTGCTGTGCCCAATCCGGTGATCGGTGGACGAAAAGCAAATTGTAACATTGCTTCACTTGGACGGCCGAGGCCTCCACCACCACGAGGTCCGCTCCTATTTTATATATACACTTATTACGTTGTTTTATACAAAGTGGACCACAATGTATTAAATTGTACAAGTTTGTGCCTATTTATGCAGGCAGATTTCCAGGTAGCAGTCCTTATCAGCGGGTTGCTCCATCTTACAGCGGCGTTGCAGGGACAGTGCCTCCGCCACCGCCACCTCCACCTCCGCACGTCATTTTTCCGCCACATGGGTAATTAATTAATTAGTCGCAGTTGCCTTTTCTTCCTACTGAAAATGGTCCGGACCAAGTTTTCCTTTTTTTTTTAATCCCATATATATATATGAAAAATAATTTTAGAATAATTTTTTTTATTATATTTTAGTACAATATGAAATGTCATTTAAATAATTAATTTTTTTTATTCATATGAGATCTATGATATTAAATATATCCATTCATTTAATGATATATCAAACATGTAATATAAAGTAATTATTATTTTAATTATGATTAAAACCATAACTGTTATGTATAAGTTATAAACAATAAAAGGTATGATATTTTATATTTTAAATTTAAACTGCAAAATATCAATTATGAGATTGAGAAATCCTCCTAATTCAATAGCTAGGTCACAAAACACCTTTTTGAACAATAAATTGTATATAAAAAATGGCTACCAACAATAAGTGAATCATGTAAATAATCTACTTAGAAGTTTGTCACCAAAATACATAGAAAAAAGGGGGAGTTTATGCTTAGACAATAAATTAAGGTTAAAAAATTTAGTTTAGAGTTAGAAAAGGCAGTAGCAGAAAGCATGAGCTTTGCTACGTTCTTGTATTGTATATGCATATATCAAAGTGGTCCCTGATCATGATTTTGATGTATGAGTCTGCACGAAAGGATCTAATTAAAATTTTTGAGATCTATTGCCCGATATGTTCTGAATCATGTACTTTCTATATATTTAATTTTATCAACCCCTCTAGTCTAGTCAGTGTCTCGTCTGGAAAAAGAAGAAAAAAAGATATATAAAATGTTGCAAGTGACTTGCTCAAGCATGCATATATATATCAATCTCCTTTCCCTCTCCCTTGTAAATTTTTTAGCCTATCAAAACT